CATGAGACAATATAAAATGTAAAAGATTTTTTTTGTTATTTATTTACAAAAAGAAAAAAATAAGTTACTTGCTCTAGTCAAATATAAAAAAAGATATTAGACGGGCTTTGTTGAGATTGTAGTAATTTCAATAGTTAAGATCATGAGTTAGTTGAAGCTAGTAACTGACTGAAGACAATGGTGAATGTATCGCTCAATTTCGTGGATTAGTTGAAGTTAGACATTAACACCGTTTGATACCGGCTCAGTGGTCTAGTGGTTAAGTGCTCGCACGCGAAACCAGTAGGTCCTGGGTTCGAATCTTATAGGGGGTGAGGTCGTGGATGCGCGCTGCTGAGGAGTCCGACAATGGGACGAAACGGTCGTCCAGTGCTCCCAGGTTTTCCATGGTGGTCTAGCTTCAACTAGCTCATGATCTTGACCATTGAAATAAAAAAAGAGTTTGATGTTAGAAAATTTATTTTTTTGTTTTGTTTTGTTTATTATTTATTTATTTATTTGAACACATGAATATTGGTACAAGAGAGCGCCAATATATATGTACCTGATAACTATGAGGATGATTTTGTTTGAAAACTGGCTTAGTCATATTAAACTATTTTTTTTAATGAGATATTCTACATTCACTAAAGAATAGAAGACTCCCAATTTTATTTGGTTATGCATAGGTTAAAATACTACTTAATTATTGGACGTTCGAACGTCAGTCTATTAATTAAACCTCTATTTTTCGAGTCGTTAAATCTTCATTGCCTACAATAATTCAAATATTCCAATGGAGCTAATTCATGTCAGGTAGAGACAGGTATCTACGTCAGTACAATGGAAGATGATCGCAAAATTTCGTGGGTTGGTTGATGTTAGACATCAACACCGTTAGATGTCGACTCAGCGGTCCGGAGGTGAGGCGTTCGCGCACTAGAACGAAGGCCCTGAGTTCGAATCGCGTAAGCGGGACGTGGATGAGTACTGCTGGGGTATCCCACAATAGGACGAAATGGCCGTTCAGTGCTTCCAGGTTTTCATTGGTGGCCTGACATGAATCGGTTCATGACTTCAATCAAAAACTTAATAATCTTCACAATTCCATACTGATTATTCTACAACTATTGTAAAGTGATAACAGATTGGTTCTTTAAATTCGCAAATAAAAATGCGAAAGAAACTAACATCCTCCTAAAAATCGACAAGTATATATGTCTCAAATATTTGTAACAATCAAATAAGACAAGTGAATTATGAACTGGGTACATTCAGCTGACAAGCTCCAGTTCGGACGAGACGCATGTCCTTCATTTCCCTACTAATTAGCATTCATCTCTGCTCATAAGTGAGTTATGTTTTACAAAATTTTGTACTAACTAGTAGTAAATTTAAACTTTATCCCACTTTATTATATTTGAAGTAACGGATAGCTCTCGTAATCTTTACACAATGCATAACCGACAGCTTATAATATTTTAATGTATACTCCGTTACTATACTCTGTTATGAAGTTAAGATCCTATTCTGTTACATGAGGTTTATTACAACTATGCGGAATATTAGTGAGTAACACATTTTACATAATCTGGTCATACATATTAACTTGTTAAAGTACATGTGACAAATGAACAATAAGCAAGATAAATGTGGTCTTCTGAGTGCGTAGCCTAAATTTATCAGTGAGACATTAAATGTTTTGTTAAATACGAAGATTGAGATATATGAAAAATTAGTCAAAGTTTAAAGTGTAAATCAGTAAGCTTATTTTCACTGACTCAGTTATATTGTATTAATTAAGAAGTGTGAAGATTTCGGGCTATGATCTATATGTGATCATTGATTTCCACTCATATATAGGACAAACCAACTGTCCAATATTGACTGCTTTATATAATATTAACTGTCCTCAATTTACAAATGATCTTAAAAGAAGTAATCAAACTATGTATTCTCTGGTTTTCCCAGTGTACCAATCCCAGTAATTGTGAATTTGTACTAAACTGTTTCCTTCTTTGCATCATGTCATACCTTTATCACAGCAAACTTCGTGAGAAATGTAGAAATACTCAATATTTCATACCGAATATTTCAATAAAATACTGATTACTGAAATATAACTGAGTAGTAAAAACTTTTTAATGTCTACTCATTGCCTCATTAAAGTGATATAGTAGAACATACAACAAGAAAAAGGAATTGGATATTTATAGTTTCAATAAAAATGTCTTATATCCTCACAATTGATTGATGGGTTTTAGCATTTAAGCGCATTTATTGGTTTCATAACTTAGAATTTATTAATAATGAAGCTAAGTGGAAGCTTGGCTTTTTGCCGCTTTCTAAAAAACGAAACTAAAATTAATGGTATTTATACGGCTATTAAAAGTTGTCAAAAAACCGCATCACCAAACAGTGACTAAAAGGTATTCATCTAAGTCCGTTTACAAATTGTCCGGTAGTACGTTATGTTAGTTTATCTCATTTTGATTTCAAATAGTAGTTTTGACCAAGCGAAAATCCTGCGTTACCAAAAAGGTTGAGTTAGTGAAAAACTTTCCCCTCCAATTTTTAATTCAGAACTAAAATTTCGGTTTAAATATTAAACGTTTTGATGAATCATTAAGTTCCAAGATATAAAAGGTAGTCGAAAATTTTCAACTCTTTATAGTAAAACAGTTTACGTAACTTGCTGACAGAAGCATTCTTCAAAAAATGAAACTGTTGTTTAGTGTTTACGTCGTTATTGCATGATTAGAGAAGCTTATAAATTAACACAACAGACTTTCATTACCGGTCATCTGATTTTATTTCCTAAACTTTAAGTTCATCGAAAGTTTGATTAATTTGGATAAAACATACTTATGTCAAGTTCAACTTTATTTATGTCAATCTATTCATTTATCGATCAAGTACAAAGCTTTAAATAACTGAAATAAACTGCTTTAACTAATAAACAATAAATTCCAGAATAAATAAATAGTATATTTGCAATATCCCAATGAGTAGAAAAATTAGATTTTCTGACGTTTCGTGGCTTAGTGTAAGTCACTTCTTCAGAGAAAAAACAACCAAATTCTCTGAAGAAGTGACTTACACTAAGCCACGAAACGTCAGAAAATCTAATTTTTCTACTCATTGGGATATTACAAATATATTATTTATTTATTTATAACAATCTACCCAATGCTCAATTCATTCGAAATTATCAAATCAAACCTTGGTAATGATACCAATAAATTCCAGAGTATAATCCTTATCCTTAATCATAGAGAATTGCAAACTTGGAATTTCTATATCAATCTTGTATGATTAATGACAGATAAAACGTCTGACAAATTTTTTTTTAATGTTTGATGGAAGATACAAAAATAGAATATAATTTTTAGAGATTTCCAGGAATATGTTATCCATAAAATACAGAACAGACTATTATATAAACATTTGAAAGGAAAATAGTCATTAGTCTTTTACAACCTATATGTTTTATACAAATGTATTAAATTTCACAGATTGAAATCATGAGTCAATTGAAGCTAGACAACCATGGAAAACCTGGAAGCACTGGACGGCCGTTTCGTCCTAGTGTGGGACTCCTCAGCAGCGCGCATCCACGATCCCGCACCCCGTGAGATTCGAACCCAGGACCTATCCGTCTCGCGCCAGGTGCTTAACCAACTAGACCACTGATCCGGCATCCAACGGTGTTAATGTCTAACTTCAACTAATCCACAAAATTGAGTGACACATCAACTAGGTTTTCCATGGTGGTCTAGCTTCAATTGACTAATGATTTCAATCTGTGAAATTTCTAAAATCTCCACAAACCCCTTCTGATAAAATGTATTTCATGTATAAATGTTTAATTATTTCCACGTTTACCAATCAAGCGTTTATGTCGAGAATATTCTGTTTATCAACAAAATGCTTAAAGATTTAAGTTAACAAATACTTAGTGAAATAAACTTAATTTTCTATCTTTCTTTTATATAAAACATTTATTTCTCATTTCTTTAAGAGTGTGCCTGAAGCAATAATTTGGAATGATCGTGTTTATTATTTTTATTGTTAATTTGTTATTCAGACAATATATATATATATATATATATATATATATATATATATATATATATAGAGAGAGAGAGAGAGAGAGAGAGAGAGAAAGAGAAAGAGAAAGAGAAAGAGAAAGAGAGGAAGATGGATAGATAAGGCTGTTATTTAGTCGTTAACATATTGTGATCATACACATATGTTTTTAATGAATTATTACACTTGGAACTTTAATGAAAATGGATACAGATACTAATGTAATGTATCTAACGTTAATGAATAATACCAAACGTCATTTTTGTCTAATCTTTTAGTGCTGATTGAGTTCTATCAATCAAGTAGTAATGTGGTCACTACTCAATAATATGTTTCAATGGAAGGCGGTTCGAGGTAAACAGCAAGGAACTTTAGGTCTCATATCGTGCTGTTTGGTATTTGACATTAAGATCTAACTGAAATCTTGATGGAATAAAATTCGATTGGTATTGAAGGACCAGTCAAACAGTGCACCAACCAATACTCCATGATCACACAGTGTAAATACCTTAATGCTATAAGACGTCAGTCGCACCACAAATGGGTTATTAGTAACGTATCGGACTGCGAAGCTAAGTGATGTGGGCTGAAATCTTAAAGGCAGAATGAGTTTCATCAGCAGTATAGATACAACCTACTGACAAAAATCAAGTAGTATGAAATCTAAATCAAGCAGGGTTTCGCACTAACTGCCTTCACCACCTAAAGTTACAAACTTCATTTCACATTTACTGATGGTATTAGGAATATTTCGATTAAGATTGAATTAAAATTACTGATTAGTTTAAAGTGAGTTGTGTACCATAAAGTTTATATACCCGACAAATGAACCAAGAATATAAATTGGACCATGACAGATTACATAATGAAAAATGCATTTGCTACTGCACACACATTATTTTTAAATCGGTAGTAAACTAATTTGAACTCACTTTGTTAGCATGATTACTCTCTGAACTGTCTGACATATGAAGACGGTTTAGTTCATTAGCTTCTGAACCCTATGATCACAACAATAAACAACAATAAGTTATATCATGGTTCAGAGTAAAGAAATCACAAAATCCACCGTTACTAAATTAAGAATTTACTTTTCATCATTGAATATGGAAGAACAGACAGCCGATGCACTTGATAAAACAAACCTTAATTCACTTAAATTATAAAGTACATTTGGTATGATATTTTGTCAAGTCCTAAATAAAGATGTAACTTTTGCCTGAGACCTTATAAAGTATATTTACTATTTAATAGATGAACAAGTTCCTGATTGTTAAACTTCCACCTGAACCATGTTTTAAATATCACTGTTTTTTAAAACATGATTTGTTAAAACTAAATGAATGAATTTATACCTTGAGTGGTGATACGATCCAAAGTTTGTGGATAAAATATGTCTACTGTCTGTCATCTTTTTAACTCAAAGCTTAAATGGTGTTTACGGAGGACAAATAATATACCGTTATTCATTTAATCGAATAATTATTACTTAATTTCAGCTAAGATTTATAATATTCTCGGATTAATTTTTCCGATATCATTATGAACAAAGGAGGTCTGAACACTTTAAAAAGGTTGTTAATGGTATATTTAAAAAGAAATCTTATAGTTTTATCTAATTTTTCGAAACTTCCGTAGCAGATGTTTTACAAATTTTATTAAACTTTAAAATTTCAACTCATTTACCAAGTACAGGGTCGCATAGTCAGCTATGAGCGACAAAATTTTTGTCGAAGTTAGTGATACTACATAGCCGGACACATCATAATCAATTATTCCCGGTCTGAATCTCTGACGTACTGCATGAAAGCTTGGTATTTTGTCCACTGAGCTACCTCATACAACACCCTAAAATTATGTCAAATGAAATTGTTTTGTATATTGATCACATCAAAGATATAAAAACTTACTGATTTATCTGATAATGAGCTTTCTGGACTCATTGAATTCGATAAACCATCGCTACCACCCCTTGCGGCCAATGAATTAGCTTTAAGGCAATCACGTCGTGTAAAAACTTGATCTGGTGTCCAACAGCCAGTTTCATTGACTGTAATATTTTCTTCACAGTCACGTTCTTTCATTATTCCTGGATCAGAGTTGTTTGTACCTTGATTAGTGGTTAATGATCCATATGAGCGGTAAACATCGGAACACTTAGAACGAACATACGAGTTATTATTATTGTTATTAATATTAGTTTTGATGATTTCATGTTGATCAGATGATGATGTAGGGATATAAGAATTTGAATTTGCTTGGTAATTTGGTGTAGGAGATGAAATAGGAGAAGTATTTGGATAGTATATCTGTTTCTCTACATTAGGTTGTAAAGAATATTTTGGTTGCGTTTTTGTACTTGAGTTCTAAATAAAAGAATAGATATGTTCGAAATACATCAATAACACATTCCATTCTCAAACGAACAAAATCTTTATTCTGACATGATAGACCAAAGGTTTCAACTTTCTTTACATCTTTAAAAATAACTGATATTTTAAAAAAGTGTTTATAATAAGAGTTTAATTGTCAAATTTCACTTGTGAAGTACTGCCATAAATTTATTAAAGCAAGTTTATTGATCACTATGATAAAAAAAACTCTTTTCAAGCGGAAACAGACGATTACTCTTGATGTTATCTACATTTTCTTTATAGAAAGTTTTTGAAAACTTTTGCGTCAGCAGTCCAGAATTTAAACGTTTGTGAACGAAACCAAAGGTCCTACCTATGTTTGGTTTCCATTTGCGGGGTGGCGGGTGCTCATTGATGAGAAACCTTATATTAAGACAAAACAACAGTCTGATGTTTCATGGTTATCAATGATTGTCTAGCTTAGATTGTTTTGTGATTTCGATGAAATTCAACAATTACTATAAACCCATACTGATGAATATCTTGTTGGTTAGTTAGTTAATAAACTAGCTCCTTTCAGCCAAAACGTTGTAAGTTAACATTTGTTTTCCTAATTGAATTCAGGAGGTGGGTAGATGTGGCGTTTATGCTATGATCTTCAAGTCAACTTTTTTTTTAAATATTGAAATACATAACTCAGACTGAATTAGATTATGTGAGGCCTGAATGAGATTTATACAATGATTTAATTTTTTGAACTAATATCACTATTCACTGTAAGCTATATATGTATGTGATTCTATAATTAATGAGTTAATTCAGTAAATAACTGTCAAAGACTACTATATAGAAAGACTGAGTAAAATGTGGTGTTCTTATCTATATCCATTACATTTTATTAATCTGGAGTTCTATCTCCCAGTAAATCTATTACAAATGATTAATAAATAAATTAGATTACATCATTCCCTTGATTTATTACCCTAATGTTGTTTCCGTTTTGCTCTCCCTAAAGATCAATACTGGTATTTTCCTTGTATATATGTATATAAACAAAGTTCTTTTTTAATTGTTTTCTCTATATCTCAAGACAGACATGATAAATGCAGAAAAGAACAGTTCTTGAGGACATCGAATAAATGTTTGTCAACATCAAATGATTCATACAGGTAATTTTGTATTTTGTTTCAATTCATTAATCATCAAAAGCAAACTTATATAGTATGCTAATCACTTTAAGGATAATCTTTCAGACAAAATTTATTTTCAGTATAAAGATAAATATACAATGAAATCAATAACCTTACTCGATATAATCCTCTTAGTTCATTAATAAGCTGTTTCTGAGTATCAAAATTTTGATACGATTGAGAATTATAAACTGGAACTTGAGTTGTCCTTTGTAATTGAATTGTTTCTCTATCTTTGTCATTTAAATCACCATCATATGAATTTAAATGATGTGGTTTCATTCCATTCATTGGGTTGTTCGCATGAATAACAGACCATGATTCATCACTTCTAAGTTGATTTCGTTGTGGAGATTTTTGCGGTATTTGTGAGGGACCATTTGATTGTTGGATTAATTGAGAATGAGGGGAATATGAAGAACTAGGCGGAGAACTAGTAGGGCTTGCACATGCATCACCAGCTCCAAGAAATGCAGGCGGCGGTGGAGGAGGTGAGGGTGAGGAATCTTTCTTTAAAAACCTACTATGATCATTATGATCATATTCATCATTATTTAATTTAGCTGCCCATTCTGCACAAATATAGCCATTACTTTTGTTGAAATTTTCTTTTCTATCAGGCACTGATAAAGAAATTACAGGTTGATCACTAACTATTACTGATGAGTTTGAAGTTTCTACTGTAGATTTGTCAGAAACAGGATATGTTGGATGTTTGCCATTAGACGATGAAGCTAAACTGTAACGCTGAAATTAAAAGCAGATCATGTTCGATAGTATGCATTATTCAAGTTTGTGATTTATGAAAATAAAACTGTATTTCTATTTCTATTTCGACAGAATTTATTTTACTGATATTAAAGCTTTACAATATAAGTAAAAGTTTAAAAAGAATTGATTGATATTAAGATTATGAATCATTGAATTTAGATTTATTACTTTTGAAGTAACCGCAATTTTTGTAACTCCCGTAGGCTCTAGGTTCAATGTTAAGTGGAGTGGTGAGTAAAATTGAGTCATGGAGTCTTAAGTTATGCTCTGCGGTCTCTAAATTTTCTCCAACTGATATCAGATTAAGACTAAATGTTGAAACTATATTGTTATGAAGTTCATTCTCCTTATCCTTTTGAAAATTATATAAGTTTGATTGTATTTATATCTGTTCGAAATAATGTCATTTACTCACCTAGTGAATTATTAATCAAATGAAATTTGCTCTATTCAAGAACAGAGATTCTTGACTTCTATAATGATAATGTTCATTGGTTAGAATTAAAAAGTTCCAATCTGAGACAAATTAAATATTTCATAAGTTCTGTTTAACAGTGATTTGCCAGATGACACCAGTTTGTGAATGAAAAGTTTTTTTAAAATATTTATAACATTAATAAATATTCATAAGCAGAGATGAATGGTAGCTAGTAGTGGAATACACGATATGTGTTTCGTCCTATTTAACACTTGTCAGCTGGATGTAGCTACTAGTGACTATCTATCTCTGCTTATAATGCTTGTGATTTGAGGCAATATCGAGACAATCCGCACAGGATTCAAAGATGTCAATAAGAGACTGATCAATTGCATTCCTAAACATCAATGGGAATAGCTAAACAACTAATACAAAATGACTTAATAAATAATGTTTAGATCATATTATTTTAAAGCAATTTAATTGGAATTCTACATGGTTATATCATTTGAACACCGTAGATATAATCATATTTGTGACTAAATTACAGATATGCGGAAGTATATAGCTACATATTATTAGGCTATTAAATACAATAATTACTATGCATAGTAAAGCTGCATCTAGAGAAGGGAACTCATAAATGAAATCGTAAATTCTCTGTTATCCAACAATCCAGTTGATTCTAAACAGAAATCGATAGAAATTTTGATGGACTGGTGAAAATATAGCATGAACAAACGAATATCACACATTACAAAAACCACACTAGAGTTAACCGATATGAAATTTACATAAAGACATAAACCTATGAGGTATGTTTGTCATTAAAGCACATGATCACTTGACTATTAGTTTTGTAAACTTAATAAAGATTCTAGACAAATCAATTGGTATGATGCATGTCTGTCTTAGTTGTTGTCTATGTGTTTACTACTAAAAGAATAATAGTGACGAGTAATTTTATTTTTGTAGTTCGAGAGAAAGAGCAATGACAAACATATCTCTCATCAGTTATATTTAAAATAATCAAAAATTAGAAATAACTATTCTGACTCATTTTATTAACTTGAATTAACCATCAATTAGAATTCAAAGTAGTCGGAATATCTCTTTTGGCTGTATGATTTGTGCAAAAAGTGAGAGATAACATAGTAACAAACAAAGAAAGAATTTTAACCTTGAATTACTTGTAGAATGTAAATGTAACATTTTTTTGTAAACTACTTATGAAGATGATGAATATTGATTACTCCATACTTCATATCAGAATCAGGTTGTGGAAATATATGAGTCTTTGTACTAAGGATAACAAACTTTTTAATTATAGTCAAAGTAAGAAATGGAATATAAAGAACACAAAAATATTTATCAGAAAAGTGATAATGTAATAAAGCTTTGTAAAAGAGTATTTGTGCAGTACAACTCACAATATAAACTTGATGATTCTTTAAGAGCTCCCTTGATGAAATTAGTTCTAATTCACATATTTAACAACGAAAATCGCATTTAGAAAGTAATTACAACTGAGAATTATTGACGCATTGTTCATTCAGAGCACTAGATGACTGAACTCAAAGCTGAGTTCTATAGGAAAGAATAATTCTCTACTTTTTATTCCTTTCCTATTCCATTTATTCGTCGGATGATTTTCACTAATGATGATATTCTATATTTGTCACAGCCAACTTTCCTTCTTACTGACTTCCCTAACAAGTTTGATATTTGTTTCAGCTGTTTATTGCACAGTATAAAACTAGAATTTTTATTTTCTTAATCTACTATCGTAGGTAATCAGTTCTGAGATCCATTTATATGTATGAAGGTTAGTGTTATTATAATTAGCAGTCTAAACCTAAATAAATAAAGAGGAGTTTGAAATTTCAGCTCATTGAACAAGTATTGGATATTTTCTTCAACCACTAAAGTGACTGGATCAAATAATTCAATTAAAACATTGAAAACAACGAAGCTGATACATTCAGTTATACTAAATAATAACTAGTTCAAGTAAATTATACATCAATGAAATAAAACAAATCGATTCATAGTTTGCCTGATATCTTTATCAATGGTGCATGTAGGTATAAATAATCATTAGTACAAATTATCATAAAACAAAATTCTTCAGTTCACTCTATAATTCTATTTGTTTTTCATTGTATAACTGAGTCATCAGATGAAATTGAAACTGGACTAAATTAAACTAAGTACTTACCTATCAAAACTAGTTTAAAATTAATGTAATAATATATACAAATCTTTTTTTAATATCTCTCTTTCTGTATCAGTTAACTAGGAATATGGTAAGTGGAATTCTTTTACATATTTATTGAATTGAAGATCACTTAGTAGATAGTAATTAAAGTATCCACTTTAATTATTAAGCAAAAAAATTGACATTTTATTTGAATTGTAATATTATACCTGTTGATAGTGACTATAATTAATGGGTTAGAATAAAAACAACGAAAAAAAGTACCTCAATTCAAGAATATGCATATTCTCATCTGTTGATTTTAATGAACCTAATAAATATATGTTCATTTTGAGATTGCCATTATACATTGTAAAGTTGAATGGAATCCAGAATAGGCGCTTCATTCAATTCTGGATTTGTCATCTGGATGTATCTGAACCTTTGTATTTATGATCATATCAGAACTGGAAAGCAGTATATTTCAAAGTAGTTATAAAACGTGTTGTTATTATACAGGCTAACTAATAAGTGAGAAAAGAAGACTAGACAATTCTTCTCAGGTCGAGTTAACGATTTTAGCTGTCAGTTAAAGTAAACCTTCAGAGATAAACTTTAAATACTTGGTTTTAGCAAAATATCAGTCATGAATGTTCCATTATCGAGTGATTTGTTATATATTATAACTTATCCTTCATATTTTTCAATGTTGTATTAATTTAGGCTTAGTTATTTGTCTATCAACGCTCTGTACCACAAATAAATTAATGAAATGAATTCTGAAGCTACAATATATTGAGGTACCTAGTGAAATTAGATATTCAATAATTACTAATAATATGTCCTGATTCTTGATAATAGTTTGACATTTATTCATATAACATTCAATAACTAAGTAACTATCTATAAACGATAAAGCCAAACAAAGTATATTGTTCCTTACTCGAGTGAACTGATTATTTTCCTGTTCTAATTCTTTCATTTTCTCTTCAACCACTTCAAGTTCTCTTAGGAGACTACTCAAATCATGTTCAGCTGTAGCTTCTAACAGGAAATAAAAAGAAAAGAAAAACAATAGTGAATTATTAGAAATACTGTTTATGAAAAGGTATTATTAATTCAATAGTAATTGATTATGAATAAATAATCTGACAAAACCTTTAAATTAAATGTACATTGATAATTTTTCACTTCGCCTTAAGATTTACTGGTTTCATATGAAGAATCTAATTGCGGCAGTTAATTACTGTTTGACTATTTACATAAAGAGTACCTGTAAGGCGGTAGAAGTGGATGGCAAAAAATCATGGAACGATGTTTTTTGATAGTTGTCATTTGTGAACAAGGCTTACTGGAACTTTTGGTCAAAATAATCTTCCACAGTGGATTAGAACCAAGGAGAAACTGCAATGAAAGTAAGATGGAGTACGAAGAACACTAACGATCTATACAAATATAGCAGTGGTCACTATTTAGTAATCTGTCGGTTGTTATTCGTCGTGTACTTGTTCATTATCATAAATTCAAACAGAGAATTCGTTTTCATTAATTAATTAGGGTCATTTAATCTGAATATTACAGAAAATAGTCCAACTTTAATATTTTAAATTCAGTTTAGCTTCGGTCTTAATTATGGTGTTCATGTAACGAAATTTTGAGTAGAGTAGAGTAGATTTGTAAACATGAGCTCATAAAAATAACTTTACACTAAAGATACTTAATTTGTAAGTACTAATTAGCTCTATTTAAATAAAACGGAGCTTATTTTCATGTGCTTTAGTCTACGACTTATGAGCAAAACAAAATGTTTGACCAAAAAATAAGAACATAATATCTGTACTGTGTTATTCACCATAAGTTGAATAATTTCAAAGTGTGCTATATGACCTCCACCAATTGAATGCCTGCTTTTTGTAAAATAAGCAATTTCATTACATTAAAAAGTACCACACATTAAAGCAATAAAAGGTTTACTAAGCACTCTTTCAAAACTGGAAAATAAAAACAGTAGTACTACAGAAAACGATTCCCATCCGTTATTATCCAGGGAAGAATAACCGTAATGTTGAATTTATCTGAACAAGATATCATATGACTTGTATTGAAAATTTCATGTTATATTGAGTCACTTAATCGGAAACTGAATAGAATTCTATTCTATAATGTTTTTGAATTACATTCTGTGGGTGTCAGTCGATGAAAATACGAAGTTAGTAAAAATTAGTCAATGACAACGATGGATATGATCAAGAAATATCTGTCAACTAACATAAGCACTTCAAACATGTCACAACAAGTATTAACTATTTCAGATTGTTGTGAACATATCTTATAGTTTATCAAGTGCATACATCAACTTTGGGATGCAGGCACATCCAACTGACGAGTCCCAAATAGAACGAAACTGGCGTTCTGAATTCCACTGCTAGCCACCATCATCTGTTTAGAACGATTATATTCTTATAAAATAATAATTAACATATAAGAAAGGGACATAATATTCTTGGAAAATAACATAAACCCCATTCACTTATGATAACCCAGGTAAATTAGTTTTGAAACGATAATATGTTTTGAAAAATTTTCATGATCACATATGTACATTAAAAACTGAATAATCAATAAACATTTGAAGTTTTAATTATGCTGACCATTTGAATATATAATTAATAAAAAAAGGCTACATTAATTGAGTGATTCAGTCTTGGATCCTGCATCTCATCTCTGGTAAGGATGAAGATGTTCACTACTAACAAGTCTCACGTTAGGACTGAATAAGTTTTCAGTGCTCTCTGGTTTTAAACGGTTATCTAAGATCAATCTATGATATAAATTACGTAAAAAGAATCAGTCACATGAGACATTTAGTTTATACTTTAATTATATACCACTAAAAAACATTTGGTTGCTGCACAATAAATCTCACACCTAAACCATAGCGCATCCTTCCCAAAATTGTTCCGTTGTCTTTACCTTTAGATGTATTTGAAAATCTAATTTTTTTTAAAGAAAGCAAAACACTTCCAACTTTTCATTATTGTTTCTCGACATAAACTAAGGAATCAAGTGCCTTTTGTCTGACCATGAATTCAACTCTTGTTAACGTTCAACACACATTCTATAGCTAGTTAGATTGTGAAGATGGTAAAATAGACTTCATTTGCAAATAATTTCCGCCATGAAATAAATTTCTTTATAATCTCGTTTAATGTTTACGGTCGTGGATATAAATTACTGTTACAGTTTGACGTGGAATTTCCTGATAAACTGTCCAGATAACACACTGATTGTTGTTCATAAAGTACACTACTACTGAGACCACTCCTTGTTCTCATTTCATTAGTTATCACCTTAACAAGCTATTAATACCATTATTGTATATTTATGTTTACAAATCAAACTTTATTTTATCGTTTACTGAATCGAATAGTTAACTTGGATTAGATATCACTTATTACATGATATAACTAACACATCACAAGCTACATCCATTTAATACATATTTATTTTTATTTGCCTAATAATAAGTAACTCTTTACGTTTTTTGATTCACTAACTTTGTTAGTTTAAATGAATTTGTACAAACATTAATACATGTAACGTTTTATTCTGTGAATGATACAGATCAATTGTTAATGCCGAATCCAGTAGAGATCTGATTCTATAAAAAGATACTAAACGAATAAATGTATAGTATAACAACAATGGTTGTTTATACTACTAGAAAAAAACAGTTACATGAACTCTCTTAATAAACAACCGACTTCTAATTGAAGTAAGCAGTGATGATATCATGCACAATAATAATCAAAACATCACAGTTAAAACAGTAAACTCAGAAAATACAATACAAACAATGATTTACTAGTTAGATAATTTTAAAATATGGTTCATCAACAAAACTAATTAGTTTCAATCAATCAATAATGGAAAAAAACACAATAAAGTTTACAATTATCCAACTATTGAATGATTGAATGAGCAAAGGTAGTTTATTTGAATACACCAATGAATAATAACATGATAGTAACATAATATTTTATTTGAAATGATCACGATCAACCGACAGATTATACCAAACTTACATAAATTCTTCTCAATTAATGAATATAGGAAAATTTGACATAATACTTGTATATTTTGAAAATACTCCTAACTTAAGCTACTTAATCGTAGTATAGTTAAAATATTTAGAGAATATTAACATAAATGATCAACTATTCATTAGTCTGGTTTCATATAAATTTATATGTTCCATGATTTAGTTCATTGACTGTTATAAGATAAACATTAATATGAATAAAATAATCATATATGAAGACAGGAACTTTATTTTTTTTCTCTCACTTCAATATACCAGGATTATTAACAATTTTTTTTCAAGATCGTATTTCAGTCTAAACAAAATATCAAATGAAATAATATTCACATTGATATTGATAATTTAATCATTGTTTAAAATCCAAACATGTGAATAATTCCATTTATTGGACATATTACACAAAAATATTATTATCAGAAGAGATTTTCGTGGATATTATAATCATTTCAATAGTCGAGATCATGAGTCAGTTGAAGCTTGAACACCTCAAAACACTAGACGACCGTTCTGTCCTATTGTGAGACTCCTCAGCAGTGCACGTTCACGACATCACCCCGCGAGATTCGAACCCGAAATCTATCAGTTTTGCGCGCGAGCGCTCAACCAGTAGACCACTGAGCTGACCGACATCCAACGGTGTTAATGTCTAACTTTAACTAAACTACGAAGTTGAGTTACACATGGTCTAGCTTCAATTGACTCATCATCTCAACTATTGAACTTACTACATTAACCACAAAAATCCCTTCTGATATTAATCAATATAGGCTCACTGGTGACTGACTTCAGTAGTTTTAGTGAGAAGTACTAACCAGTGGAGTTCAACCGGGTCTGTTGTGAAATAGTAACTCACTGATGACAATGGCTGATATGTTGCTCATTTTCGTGGATGAGTTGAAGTAAGACATTAACACCGTTGGATGCCAGCCAGCTCAGTGGTCTAGTGTTTAAGCGTTCGCGAACAAAACTGACAGGTCCTGGGTTCCAATATCGCAAGGCAGGGTTGTGGATACGCACCGCCGACGAGTCCCACAATAGGACGAGACAGTCATCCAGTGCTTCCAGGTTTTCCATAGTGGTCTAGATCTAATTGACTCATGATCTCAACTATAGAAATATCATTACTGACAATTTCATTAAGTAATAAAAATTACAGTAATTAAAATTACAAGTTCATTAACATGGAGTTTGTAGATATGATTCAATGTTTTAGATTGTTCATGTTATTCATTAAAATTACTTGAAAATTAAAATCAGTTCAGGTTTGTGGAGATTGTTAAGTTCTTGATTAAAATCATGAGTCAATTGAAGCTAGACAACCTTGGAAAACTTGGAACCACTGGACGGCCGTTTCGTCTTAGTGTGGGATTCCTCAGCGATGCGCATCCACAACCCCATCTCGCGAGATTCGAACCCAGGACCTATCAGTTTCGCTCCAGGCGCTTAACCAACTAGACCACTGATCCGGCATTCAATGGTGTTAATGTCTTACCTCAACCAATCCACGAAATTGAGCGACCATCTTCCATTGCACTGAGGTAGACACCTGTTTCTACCCGACACTGATTAGCTCCACTGGTCACGGCTGACAGGTCCTGGGTTCAAATCTCACGGGGTGCGCGATCTTGGATGCTCACTGTTGAGGAGTCCCATACTAGAACGAAACGGCCATCCAGTGCTTTCAGGTTTTCCATGGTGGCCCAGCTTCAATTGACTCATGATTTAAATAGAAAATTAAAATGTTTGTTTTTGTTTTCATAGAGTACAATAATAAATACCGAAAAATAATCTTATATTTTCTTTATACCGATGTATTGATTTATTTGTTTGTTTTTTTTCACTTCTAATTGTATTTTACTATAACCAACATGAAAAACAAATAGGTAATTTCTCTCTCTAATATTAGAAATGATAATTGTCTTTTATTTTTTTTGAAATATCA